AATAGAAGTGGAATGCCTTGTGGAATCACTGTTGTACACCTGAAATTGATGTAATATTGTGAGTCAACCACGCTTCAATGAACATATTTAGGATAAGTCCACCTGGCATTCTCTAGGATGTGATTATTGTGGTTTTCTTTGTGTGTGTGTGTGTGGTTTTCTTGAGGTGAGTTTTAAGATTTTTCAGATTATCATTGAATCATAATATAACATATTCTGCTTAAGTCATGAATGTAAAATAAAAGTTGTGTCTCCCAGGTAGGAATGATGCCAGAACTTATTTCACAATGAGCGATACATGTATCATCACAGACAACATAAAAATACCGAATAGTTGAACTGGTTAATTGGTAACACTGCATGGCTTTGTTTTGCTGTAGTATTTTTGCAGAATTTATTTATATTAAAAATTGCTTTAACGAATAAAAAAGAAATATGCGAGCCACGGGTCATTTTAAATGTTCTAGTAGCTACGATTTATTTTTATTTATTTATGTTAAAGTAGGGTCCACGCCCAACATGGGTTTGAACTCATGATCCTGAGATCAAGAGGCCCGTGCTCTACGGACTGAGCCAGCCAGGCGCCCCTAGCAGCCACACTTTAAAAAGAAACAGGTGAAATTAATTTTAACAATGTTTTTATTTAACGCAACTAACCCAAAATATTACCATTTCGATATGCAATCAATATAAAAATGCAGAGGTTTGCATTCCTTTTTCCAAGCAGTCTCTGATACTGGGTGTGCATTTGACACTTATGGAACATTAATTTTGGACTGGCGGCATTTCAAGCGCCTAATACCCACCATCCTGGACGGCTTGGCCCCGGAATTCCCCCTCTTTCCCCTTCTTGTCCCACCACCCCGCAGGAAGAAGTGAAGATGGTGGGGGGGAGGTAACACTGCTACTTTGGGACTGAGGCAAACGCGGGGAGGACACCTCACCCTGTGAAGTTGTGAGGTTGCGACGCTGAGACCTCTCAGCCAGCCTCCCCTGCCCCCTCCCCCGCTCAGCGAGTAAGCTCCAACCGCAGGAAAGTGCCAGGCTGCGGGTGGGGGATGGGGGGAGTGGGAGAGGTGGGTGGGGGGGTGGAAGACGCCGCGCAGAGCCGCACGCATGCGTACTGCGCGCGCTCATCAACGCAGCCTGGCGCCCTAGCAACGTGTTCCAAGTCACTGTCTCGTCGGAGTAAGTAGCTTTCCCAGGAGTTCTAGTCCCCCCAGTCGGTCTTGGCTCGTCCCCGTCCACGGTTCTTTCTTATCATTTCCGTTTCTCCCCTCCACTGGTTCGATCTCGCCCGAGCCCAGAGCCGGGTTCCTGAAATGAGTACTCGTGGTTTCCGCGTGGGAACCAACCCTTGCAGCCTCAGGTTCGCCCTCCCCGGGCTGAGGTGGCTGCTGGGGCTGGGGCTGTTCCTGGGGCTTCACGCCGTCCGCAGCGCGGCCTTCTACCTCCCCGGGTTGGCTCCAGTTAACTTCTGCGAGGCGGCCCGAGAGACTGCAACCTGCAAGGTGAGGACCAGTGGGAGAGGCAGAGATGTGAGGGGAAGGCTTTGGGTAGGGGTATGGGGCACACCGGGGGAGACCACGGTCGCGAGCCCTTTTGCCTACGACCCAGAATGCCAAAGCCCTCTCTGTGGGTGTGGGTTTCCGCGTCTCTGTCTCTAAGCCTCGCACGTGGAGGATCCGGACCTCTCTTTTTCTCAGATTCTCTTTCCCTCTCTTTTGGCTCCTCCCCTTACTCTCCGTTCGTCCAACTCCCGCTCAGCTCTTCCTCCGTCCTCATAGCTCCTCCTTCTCCCCCATTTCTCTTGGCTCCCTCCCTTTCATCTCAGCTTTTCCTCTTCTCCTCCCTCTCCGTTCCGCCCCTCCCTTACCCACTTCCCTC